TACAAAACCTGGGAAACTGTGTTCTATTTCTTAGCAAATAAAAAGACAGCCGTAGTGATTTCACGAAACACGAAGTCATTAGATGTTTTGGATAAAAGCCAGCGCTCGTTACAAACCTTAAACATTTAATACTCCATTTAACAGAAAAGAGCATTTTTTATGAATAAATCAGAAGATGATTCAAAAGAGGTACGGTAATAATTAATTACATTTGGTGGTTTTTTTGCCTCGGCGTTTCACTCGGCAACGCATATAAATTGGCAGCTGATTTAATGGCTGATTTAATGGCCGATTTTATGGCCGATTTTGCCATGATTCCAGTCTCATCTTTGATGTGTTTTGCTTTTCATATGATTTTGCCGAGGAAAAATATGTTCGTTATCAATTCCCAGCGGGCGGTGTTACTGTTGGAACTTTTCAAATCAATTCCTTTCACTGCTTATGGGCAGAAAAACAGAAAAACACACTAAAATAACATGAAGTAGAAACCGCATGGAGCAAAATTGGTGTCGATTTGTTCGAGATCAAGGAAAGAAATTATCTAGTCACTGTCGACTATTACTCGAACTTTACAGAAGTTGACTACCTGCTAACCATTATGCACGACTAAACAAGTCATTACCAAGCTAAAGGGACATTTTGCAAGATATGGAATACCAATACAGATGATGACTGACTCCGGCTCACAATTCCTCTCAAGAGAATTCAAGAATTTCACAAGAAACGGGGGCATTGGCCATGTAACATCATCGCCACATCATCACAAATCAAATGGAAAAGCGGAAGCCGCGGTGAAGATTACCAAAACGATGATGCGTAAAACGCTCTTGAATGGGACCGATCAATATGAAGCCCTACTTGAACTGAGGAACACACCTCGCCAAGATACTGAAGCCAGCCTTGCTGAAATGATGTTTGGTAGAAACACACGATCAATGCTACCATCCCCAAGAACTAAGAGAATCAGAAGTAAGAGAGAAGTAATCCTGAGAAGAGCCAAGCGCCGCTTTGCCGTCAAGCGTAGCTTCGTCAAAGATGCTCGAGACCTGACGCGACTCACTTCTGGTGTACTATCAACACACAGAAGGAAAGAAGTGCGACTGGAGAAAAGGTACAGTACGTTCTGAGCACAGCGACCGATCCTACATAATAGATGGAAATGGAGGTGTATACAGGAGAAACAGAGTGCATTTACGTCCCACGACATTGAACGCTCCATCTGAGAACACCCCAACAACTGCTGTGGAGAACAATATGCACAGTCTACCAACAAACACCGACAAGAGGACCGAGTCCCAAGATACCACTAAGGCAGACACTTCTCAAGCAAACTTGCAGACAAGACCGCAGCGGATAAGGAAAGAGCCATACTGGTTCAAAGACTATGAGATCAAATATTAGTTCGTTGCTGATGTATATATTCCCTTTTGTTTGTCGAAGTTGTGACATTTGATAGAACTCATTCACTCTGAGGAACTCGTCGTTTTGGACCTGTTATCGCTGTTTTCTTTTCTTTCTTTTTTTTTTTTTCGTTAAAATTTCCTTTGAGAAAGAAGGATGTTGATATAATCAGTATCACGTCCGTGAGATACTGGTCAGCAGATAGTGAGGCGCAACGCATGGGCATGTTCAGGTAATTAGCTGGGTATCCGCCATTACAGTCAAACTAAGTGAAGCGTACCCCTCAGTATTACATTAATGATTTGATTAATTGAATATTGAACCCGCTAATCGTTTCAGGAGCGCAGTAACGAATTGAATATTTGAACATGGAACCCGCTAACCGTTTCAAGAATGCAATGATGGATTGATTATTTGAATATTGAACCCG